AAAAAGAAGGCTAGGGAAAGAGAAATAGAAAGAGAAGGCTTAGGAGAGAAGAGTTAAAGAATCAATCCATTCATGCTAAAAATTCAGGTAAGGGGGGATTGTTCATCTAAGGGTGCCTAAATTATGAAAGGGTAGAAAGGTTTCTCTTAACCTCCAATAGGGTTTGTTTATCCATTGATTCTTGAGGAATATTGATGAATGTATTATGGTGAATAAGTTTTTATGTGAATTGATTTAAATTGAAATGGTATGTTGTTGATATATAGTTGTATTCTTGATTTTTTTTATGTGAAATTAAGTGTTTCAAGGTATGAATTTAAGTGATTAATTCATTAGAAATTTGATATATTTATGACCATTAGAGGAGGACCGATGTATTGGTGTTGTTAGAATGTAAATTGGTATAATTTAGAATGTTATAATTGGGACAAGTATGTGGTTGAATGGTTGGAATAGAAGTGATGCGTAAAATAGAAATTGGAATTTTTGGAAAAGCACAGTGACAACGGTTGTCACAAGATGACAATCGATTGTACTAGTGCAATTTTTGGAAAATAACATTGTGACAATCCATTGCCGCTAGATGACAATCGATTTTCATGGCTCTAAATGAGGTTTTGGGTCTGGCAGTAGCTAAGCATCGCTTATGACAGTCCATTGTCATCCTATGACAATCGATTCTCATAGGCCAAATTTGTGAGAATTTTTCTGTTTTGATCTTTGTTGCATTTTCCGACGATTTTGGCTGTAACTTTTGATCAGTGAGTCCAAATAACGTGTCTTTTGAAGCGTTAGAAAACTATTGCTTATATATACATCATGGTAGTGCTTGGTGAAATACTTGAAGAATAATCACGTGCCTAATGTAAGGATGTTGTAATTATTTGTATGATCAATTAATGAATCATTTTGTTGATTCGATGATGCGTTGATGTTATAATGAATTAAGATAAATGAATGCTTGTGAATATTCATTTGTTGAGTTGTTGATGTTTGATGTTGTGTGTCGATTGTTGTAAAATTGATTAGTGTTTGCGTATGGTGTATGATATTGTTATGATGTTGAAGTTTAATGATGTTGTCATGGTGTTGATGTGATTATAAGAAGAGTTGATATTCATGTATTGAACACATGTTTGAGCCGAGATATGTAGTTTCAGTGTGAAGACTACCCTGTTGTAGTTTCAGTGTGCAAAAATCTTTTCATAATGGACATGTTATTTTTGTTCTACCACAATACAAACAACGCCTAGCCTCTCACGCGCAAACATACAACCAATGTTTAACTGCTAGAACGCAAACGTTAACATCGTCCAATAAAACAACCAACAAACACTTATTTTCTATCCCACTAACTACGGAGATTTGATTTCCCATTGTATATTAAGGGAACGTAGACACATGATTCAAGAAATCTTGGAGAGCACACTAATTAATTTTTTTTCCCATAACTAAATCCAATAATAAAGCAATAATCGCAAGTAAACCTTAAATAACACCTTTACATGTGGAACAAAAAAATGGTTCCTGTTGAGTACAACAGATGTGAGGGGTGTTAATACCTTCTCATTGCATAATCAACTCCCAACCCCGAATTTAGTTGCGAGACTATTTTCTTTTCTCCTTTTGGGTTTTTCTCGATATTTTCCATTTCCTTTGAAATAAATAAAGTTCAGTGACGACTCTATGTTTTTTCGTGGCGCAACAACCTTGTCTTCATCAGCATCTGAGTCAAAGTCATGTTTTTTCATAGATCTTTTCTTCAAGGACTTCATCTTAGTCTCACACTTATTTTCAATCATAGATGCTCCAACATATAGTCCAACATGTGTCTCCCCATGGTTTAAGACTTCTTTAACATTTGAGCCCTAGCCTTCTTCCCATACTTGTCTTCCAACATATTATCTTTTCCAGGTGATTGACTCATTTTTTTAGAAGAATACAAAAACTTGAGATAAGGAAGAATAAACAATATTTTGAGTCCAAAAGAGAAATAAAAAATGTGTCCTTACTTGTAACAATGGACCAGATAAAAGGAAATTTTGTTATCACCCCCATTTCACGTGCACCATAGACTATAGGAGAGAGATACCTAATTTTTCTCCTTGAACGTCTCCCTAGATTTGACTGCTATAGACGATCACATATGAAAATACCAAGAGCACCCCTCAATTTTTCAAATTGATTTGCATCCAAGGCTTAAGTGAATATATCAGCCAACTGTTTTTTAGTTGCTATATGCTCAAGATTCACAACTTTATCTTCCACAAGTTCCCTGGTGAAATGATGATGAATGTCAATGTGCTTAGTTCCACTATGTTGAACATGATTCTTTGAAATATTTATAATACTCAAGTTGTTACAAAACAATGTCATGACATCTTATCCAACATTGTACTCCTTCAACATTTGTTTCATCCAGAGCAATTGCGTGCAAATGTTCCCTACAATAATATATTTAGCTTCAGTTGTAGACATTTAGACACACTTTTGCTTCTTCCTGAACCAAGATATTAAGTTTTCTCTAAGGAAGAAACATCCACCATATATGTTTTTTCTATCATTTGCACTTCAAGCCCAATCATCATCACAATACCCTACTAATATTGTATTCATGTCATGTGAATAGAGAATACAGAGCCACAAGTCTCATTGATATACTTCAAGATTCTCTTTACTTGAGAATTTGATGACTAGTCTTGGATTTAGCTTGATATCTAGCAAAAACACCTATAGATAATATGATGTCAGGTCTACTTGTTGTGAGGTAGAGCGGATTCCCAATCATCACTATTATAGAAAGTATATACAACAACTCCCACGTTATCACAGTGCTTTAAAAGACTGTGGTGATATTTCTAAATTCAGAAGCCGATATTTTTTAATTGTTTTATTAAAAATTGTTAACATATTACCATAGTTATTTAGAAAAATCGTGGTGATATCTTTAACCTTTCATGAGTTTGAATCTCAGCACTATAAGCACGAAGTGCGCCTAAGAGTGGGGTGAATTAGGCACTTTAAAATTTTCTGGTTTTTAGTGATGATGGATAATATTTTTCTGGTTTATGGTGTGTTTATGAAAGAGTAAAATGCAGGAAAAATAAAGAGACACGAGAGATATATCCTGGTTCCCCTTACAGTCTGAGAATACTCCAGTCCCATTTCAACATGAAAGAGATTTCCTTATAGTGGCAAACTTAAAACAAGAACTACCAAAACCAAGAACAATCCTCTTAGACCAAGAACAGTCCTCTTGGATTTTCACTATGTCAACAATGAGAACAATCCTCTCAAGGTGACCTTACTTGTATCCAACAATCCCGGAAAAACAAGATTACAAAACCACTTGATCTTATTCTCAATAATCCTGAAAAATAAGAAAGTGTATAGCAATGTTTGATTGATAGAGTTTGTAGTGCAATAATCACTTTGAGTGATTTTATCAATGACTTGATCTTCTCTGTCAATAACAATAATATACAATGACTCAAGACTATAGAATGCTCAAAATTTTCTGTTTAACAATATATGAAAATGTGCAGAAAAACTTTGTGTATGAAAGTGAAGAAAAAACTTGAGTTTTAATATTTTAAAATTCAGAAACTATTGATTGGAAGAGGTACAAAATGATTTTGAAAACTCAGTATTTATATGTTCATAGCACCTCTTTGAAACAGCATAAATTTCTGCAAATGAATCGTGAACAATTGTCAAGATTCAATGAAAAGTTTCCATGAAATGCTGTTATGAAAATGTATGTTCAAAGCTGCTGATTTTCAAAAACGTTCAGCATGTAATCGTTTGCACCCTTGTGTAAATCGATTGCACGGGTTTTAACAGTTAAAAAATTCAAATATTTTCAGTGAGCAATCGATTGCACATGTGTGTAAATCGATTTCACTTTAAAACAGTAGCAAAATTTGATAGAGAGCAATTGATTGCACAAACATGCAAATCGATTGCACTTAGAAACAGTAGTTAATACTTTGAAAACGTGAAGCATGCAATCGATTGCACCAACATGCAAATCGATTGCACATAAGTGAAAATTGATTTTTTGCTTAGAAAACTTGAGAAAAAGTTTGGACAAGATAAAACACTTCTTTTGATCATTGAGCATTTAAGACTTAAGTTCAAAGTAAGTATTGTCATTATACATTGTGAAATTTGCTAAGAACTTGAGACAAAGTCTTTTATCCAATGAAGCTTTTAGCTTAATCAAAATCTTTGCCTTCTTGCCAATATAATTTGTCTTCATCAAAATAAAGTGCATTGAGAATCATTTGAGAAGTTTGATATTACAAGCATCAACAAATTCATGATTTCTTCGGTATTTTAGTTGCGCCTATTTTTTTAAAAAAAATTATTTTTAGATAAAAATAAAAGTAATATCACCAAGGTTGTTTTATCCGATCGTTTTGATATATTTTTCAATTTTTAAAATTTTTAAATGCCAAAAATCCGGAGTCTTATTATAAAATAATATTATATTACCACAGTTTTCCAATCAAAGAGTTTGATATATTTTTAATTTTTAAATTTTTAAAACCCGACGTTTTTTTTAAATAAAATTTCATTAAGTTTGTCATATATCTCAACCGTTGTTGTATAAGACCTTGGTAGAATACCTTATTATTTAAAGGAAGCACATCTAGCTAGCTTGTCTCTTTGATTGCATTTTCTTCCGTGACGAAACAGCATCGTTTTCATCCCTGACAGAACAATTTCATCTTTAACCCTAATGAAACAACACTATTTTCAATCTTAACGAGACAACATTGTTTGCAACCAACAACACTCTTTTCATCCAACTTCATCATTCTAGGCTTACGTACCGTCAAGGTGGAAGACGACACCAACTTCATCATTCTTGGCTTGCATGCCATCGAGGAGGTAGACAAAGACGACACCAACATTTTTTACTTACTCGACACCGATTTGGTCCAACTGCTTACGAATATGTTGAAGGAGATCTCTCTAAGCTTACTCAAACGGATATGTCCATCCTCCTCCAGGGTATTACTTTCTCAGTGGATTTCTTTGTATTGGTCATTGAAGGTCCGAATGTAGTGTTGGGATTTCCTTGGCTCCAATCGTTGGGAAAGGTTGCACATGAATATTCATCCTTGATGATGGAATTCACTTGGCAGGGTGTTCCGGTGACTTTACCAAGTTGGACCTTCGTGCAGGTTACCACCAAATCTGTGTGCACTCTCGTGACACTTACAAGACAGCTTTTCGAACTCATGAATCGCACTTTGAGTTCCTTGTTATTCCATTTGGCCTCACAAACGCCCCATAAACTTTCCAAGCCTCAATGAATCAACTTTTCTCCCAATTTCTACCAAGGTTTGTGATTGTTTTCTTTGATGTTATATTGGTATACAGTGCTACCCTTGAGGATCGTTTACACCACTTGGATTTTGTTTTTGGATGTCTGTTGCACCATTATTTTTACGTAAAATTATCCAAGTGTTCATTTTGTCAAGAAACTATTGACTACTTGGGCCATATTGTCTTCTCCAAGGGGGTTCATGTTGATCCGAGCAAGCTGGATGCAATGGTTAGGTGACCAATTCCGTCCTCCATTAAGCAACTTTGATGATTGTTGGGTCTTACCGAATACTATCGCCAATTTATTGTCAATTATGCCAGCATCGCTGCCCCTCTCACAGATTTATTCCGCCATGATTCTTTTGTGTGAACCCCGGCTGCTACTTCAGCTTCGAGATTCTCAAGCGAGCTATGGTTGTTGCCCTTGTTTTGATATTACTGGATTTTTCTAATGAATTCCTAATTGAAACTCACGCATCTAATGTAGGCATCGGCACCGTTCTCATGCAAGAGGGTCAACCAATTGCGTTCTTCAGCAAGAAAATTGGCCCAAAGATTCAAGCTCCTTCAGTTTACCTCAAAGAACTTCATGCTATCACTGAAGTCGTCCTTAAACGGCATCAATACCTATTGGGTCATTTCTTTGTTATTCACATGAATCACAAGATTATTAAGGAGCTACTACAATAAGTGATACAAATGTCGGATCAGCAAACATATGTAAGGAAACGTTTGGGGTTTAAGTTCCGCATAGAGTACAAACCAGGGGTTTTCAATCGAGTGGCTGATGCCTTGTCCAGGGTACCAGCAGAGAAGGCAGAGGACGATAACTTGGGTTCGACGGCTCTTATGGCATTGGTTTCCTCCCCCATATTTGGGATTGTACAGCAACCCAGGAAGAAGAACAGTTCAGACCTGTTTTTATTGGCCTTTAAGCAACAATTGGCACAAAATAATCTACCTCATCCTTATACCATAGTTGGTGGCGTGCTTCTGCATCATGGTAGATATGTTATCAACCCAGCCTCGCCTCTATGTTCCACTGTCATTAGGGAATTTCATGACGCTCCGAGTGGTGGACATGCGGGTATCAAAGATACCCTTGTTTGAGTTGCAGCCAAATTATTTTGGCAAGGTATGCGCAAATCAGTAGAGCAGTTTGTAGCATCTTGTCTTATGTGCCAACAGATTAAATACTCCACTCAAGTACCCGCATGTCTCCTTTAACTCCTGCCCATTCCGAAAGCGGTTTGGGAAGATATTACGATGGATTTTATTACGGGTCTTTTGGTTTATCAAGGCTTATCAGTGATATTTGTTGTGCTGGATCGCCTATCCAAAAGTGCTCATTTTGGGGCCTTATCGGCCACGTTTATAGCTTCAAAGGTGGCAGAATTCTTCATTTCTATGGTCGTTCAACATCATGGGTTCCCTCATTCAATCGTATCCGACTGTAACCCAGTGTTTGTTAGCAAATTTTGGCGTAAACTCTTTGAGTTAAGTTGAACAACCTTGGCTATGAGTAGTGCTTATCACCCACAAACGGATGGCCAATTCGAGGTGGTAAATAGGGGGCTAAAACAATATTTACATGCTTTCATACAACACAAACCCTCTGCATGGGTGTCCATCCTTCCATGGGCGGAGTTCCACTACAACACTAGTTTTCATAGTAGCATACAAATGTCATCCTTTGAGGCATTGTATGGCCGCAAACTACCATTATTCCCGGTTATCACGGGGGTTCTACTTCCATTCAAGTCTTGGATGAGGCTCTCACTTCACGTGATGAGATCTTGCGGGTTCTTAAAGACAACTTGTTGACAGCTCATCGCCAGATGACACAGAAGGCAAACACGCACCATCACAACCTTTCTTTTTCACGGTTCTCGTTCGCCTGTGACCGTACCGTGGAACGTCAATGTTTAATCACTGTCAACAGAAACTCTCCAAAAGGTTTTATGGTCCTTTTCCGGTCCTTGAACGCTTCGGGTCTGTGGCATATAAACTTCAACTACCACCAAAGAGTCACATTCATCCAGTCTTCCATGTTTCGATTCTTAAACCATTTCGTGCTAACGAATGTCACCCAACTTAAGACTTACCCTTGGAGAGTTTCAACAACTAGCCTGTGGATGAACCAGGTGCTATCCTGGACCGTCAGACGTTACTTAGGAACGGCGCCAGCCACACCCAGCTTCTTGTTCAGTGTCGTAACACTCCAGCGGAAGAGGCATCGTGGGAAGATCTTTCCACTTTCACTACTTGCTACCCAGATTTCCACCTAAAGGACAAGGTGTTGTTAGAAAGGGGAGGGAATGACAACGCAGGTGGACATAGGCCCAATATCAGTCACTGAACCCAACAAGGAAATGGAAGGCCTAAGTGAGATACCATCTCCAGCTAAACGCAAAATCAACCCACCTGTGTGGATGAAAGATTATGATTGTTACTGGGACACACGGGAATGGATAAATATTTTTTTTGTTGATAAATCAGCTATTGCATTAAAATCAAAACTCTGTTTGTACAATGACCACACTAAGGCCAGATAAACTAACTATACATTTGTAATACTTCTGTATCACCTATTGTCATTTGGACTTATTTTTTCCAAGTCCAAATGAGCATTTCCATGAATTACTCATTTTTTATTTCCTTAACACACCAATCTAGAAATTTCAACTGATGCTGCCATAAAACCTCGTTTCTCCTCCAAATGTGGTAAATTGTAGCTGTGAAGGATGCTGCATAAATCTTTTTATCTCTTCCAATCCACCTTGCAGTTTCTTGCAGATTAGTGGACATCATCTTCTAGTGTAACCAATTCTTCACCCGCTGCCAACAAGTTCTGCTGTAGATACAATTGAAGAAAAGGTGATTGAGGGTTTCTTCATGATTTCCACATAACAGGCAACTGTTATTGTCAACCATCCCCATGGTTTTCAGTTTATCCCTGGTTTTGAGTCTTTCTTGCATAGCAAGCCAAGCTATGAAACTATGTTTGGGACATTGGAGTTTGCCCAAACAATACCTTTCCAGTACATTTTGGCATGATCCTCTGCAAGAAAATTAGAAATTTTCTTAATATTATACTCCTCTTTAGTTAGCTGATGCAGATCCATTTTAGTTTTCATCTTTTCTTTCACCTCAATTATTTTCCTCCAATACCAGCTACTTTGTTGGCAAGCCTTGTAATCGAACCAATTCTCGTTCTTCAAGTATGCATGGTGAATCCATTTAACCCATAGATTCTCCCTATAAGTTTCAAGAGCCCAAACATGTTTGCCAATAGCCGCTTCATTCCAATAGTGACTGTTTTTAAAACCCAACCCACCTCTGGCTTTGGACTTCCAGAGATTGTCCCAAGCAATGCTACCAGGGCTATTTGTAGTAGATTTTCCTGTTCAGAGGTAAGATCTGCAGACTGTTATAATATTATTTATCACTTTTTTCGGGAGAATACAAATATGACACCAATATGTATGGATTGTAAGCAGAATAGAATTTACAAGGACGGTTCTTCCTGCAAAAGACATATTCCTAGAACTCCAAGTTCTGATCCTAACAATCATTTTTCCACAAGCATTTGACATTCAACAACAGTAACTCTTTTAGAGTTGATAGGAAAACCTAAATACCTGAAAGGTAGGCTGCTTCTCTTGTACCCTGAGGCTTCAGTTACCCTTTGAACATCAGACTCTTTCATCTTACTACAATAAATTTGTGTTTTTTCCTTGTTAGGCCATAGGCCATAAGTTTTGGAGAATAACACCAGGCCCTGCAACATAGTGTAGATAGATTAAAAATCACCATTGCAAAACAAAAGTACATCATTTGCAAAGCTATGGTGGTTTAGCTTGATGGCTTCACACTTATCATGGAACTTAAATCTGTCCATGTTACCAATTTTCATCATGATTCTTGATAAATATTACATACCAATCACAAAAAGCAAAGGGGACATTGGTTCCCCTTGCATCAAACCTCTATTGGAGTTGAAAAAAACCATGAATTGAGCCATTAATTTAAAGGGAAAACTTGGGAGTTTCACACACTGCATGATAAGATCTCTAGACTTCTTTGGGAAGTTTAGGCCTTCCAACATTTCCTCAATGAACCCCCATTAAATTGTGTCATAAGCTTTTCTCATATCCATCTTTATCATACTATTGGACTTTCCACTCTTCCTACCATACTACCTGACAAGGTTTGACAAATCATAATATTGTCGGCAATATTTCTACCCTTAACAAATCCTCCTTGGTTTTGAGAGATGATCGTTGGCAAAATTTCATCCAGTTTGGAGCATATCATCTTTGTTATTGCTTTGTATAATACATTACAACAAGCAATTGGTCAATAATCACCAACAGATTCAGGACAATTATTTTTAGGGATAAGGGTTAGAGTTGTGGTATTACTCTCTTAATAGTCTGCCAAAATTAAAAAAAGAAGTGATTGTTTTACTAACCTCATCATCTACAATATCCCAATTATCTTGGATGAAGTAGCTACTATACCCATCTAGACCTTGGGCCTTTGTGCTTGGGATGTTGAAGATTGCTTCCTTAACCTCCTTTTCCAAGTAAGGTCTTGTTAACCAATCTTGTTGGGCCTGGGTAAGATAATTCCCTTGATTCAAGACTACTTTTTTAACACGCATCATGTTATCCATCTTTGAGCCAAGCAGATTTTAATAGTAATTGATAAACTCTCCTATCACGTCTTCAGGGTTATTCAACCATTCTCCCTTGCCATTAGTAATAGAATAAAGGGTTAAATATAAAAACACCTCTACAATATTAGCGAATTTATGTTTTAGTCCCTCGTAAAGTTTTTTTTTTAATTCCCCCTTGTATTATATAGATTCCCTCAGATCTGTAGGGGAAATTCCGAGGAGAGAGTATTTTACTTGGGACACACCTTTGTGAGAGACACACCACTTGTCCATCTAAAACCTTAAGGTGATAGATGAGTGGGTTCTCCCACTTATAAGTGCTCAATCTTCCCTTTTTATAATCAATGTGAGACTTTTTCCTCACACTTGATTCTCAACACTCCCCCTCAAGTGTGAGTCACAATGCTCTCCCTCATGTGGAATGACTCTCTTCCACATACACTTGTACCATCGCTCGATACAAGTAAGTCGGTCCCTATCTCGAAACCAAAGGCTCATGATACCACTGTAGGGGCAATTCCGAGGAGAGAGCATTTTACTTGGGACACACCTTTATGAGAGACACACCATTTGTCCATCTAAAACCTTAAGGTGATAGATGAGTGGGTTCTCCCACTTATAAGTGTTCAATCTTCCCTTTTTATAATCAATGTGAGACTTCTTCCTCACACTTGATTCTCAACAAGATCCCCTTTTCCCCCCAACTAGTAATATGTCATGGAATCTTGATTGACATGTAGATTTATTTGCCACGTCCTATTTCCAATTTAGACACGTGACATTCTTAATTAAATCATCACCTTGCCTAGTTGTAAATTACGTTTTATATTCGTTATAACCCCCTGCAATGTTACGGTTTATGTGAGAAGTCTGTGTTGCAAAGACGATTAGTCGTTAGGGTTCATTTTCCGTTGAAGCTGCTGTCGTCTACAAGCGTCTGATCGTCATGGCTGGAAGCAAGTGTTCTTCAACAAGTAAGGGTTTGCCAAGATGTGGCTGCAATAAAAACATGAAGTTATGGGTGTCTAACACAGTCCAAAATTCAAGCAGAAAATTCTAGAAATCCAGAAATTTCATGGTGAGTTGTTTATGAGGTTGTAATTCTTCTTATATGAACCTTCTCATTTGTTTATATTTTAATATTGGGCAAAAATGCAGAATGGTTGCAATTTATTTCTCTGGGACGACATGGTTAGCGAGGCTGAAGTGAATTCATCTAGGTGTTGGGAATGTGACATGAGCAAGGGTTATTTGCGCAAATTTGTGAAGGAGATCGTTGAGGAGAGATCAAATAAGGTGGAAAAACTGAATTTGTGTATTTTAAGTAGTTGATATGGTTTATAATTGGATCTTGGTATGTCATGGTTTGTAAGACAGACACGTTTGTGTTGAATTAAACTCTATTTTGTGGTGCCCAATGTAAGACAAATTATGTTTTGTTGAATGAAATTTTAAGTTTTGTGTAATTTAGTTAAAGTTACATTCGTTGACAGTGAATATGTCTATGACACCAATGTTACACCCATGTCTTCAGGTGCCATTTTGAACTGATTATACCCGAAGAAACCATCCATGAAGGAGAATACCTTATGTTGTGCGGTGTTGTCAACCAGAACATCAATGTGGGGAAGCGGAAAGTCATCCTTGGGGCTTGCCCTGTTCAAGTCTCTGTAATCCTCACACATATGTACCTTACCGTCCTTCTTAGGCACTGAAACAACATTAGTGACTCATTGTGGATAGGACGTGACAACTAAGAAACCGGCATTGAACTATTTCATGACTCCAGCCTTGATCTTTTTTGACATATTCAGCCGCATACGACGAACCTTCTGTTTCACTAGAGGGCAATCCTCTTTTGTAGGTAGGCGATGAACCACAATATTGGTGTCAAGCCCTGACATGTCTTTGTATGACCAGGCAAAAACCTCAACATAGTCATGTAGCATCTGTATTAACCGCTGTTTGACACTGGGCTCCAAGTTAGCACATACCTTGACTTCTTTTCTATCCTCTTCAGTACCCAAATTCATTGTCTCAACTGGCTCCTCATGAGGCTGTATTGCCTTTTTTTCCTGTTGTAACAGTCTGGCAAGCTCTCCTGGTACCTCACAATCTTCCTCACCTTCGTCCTCATCTTGGTTGATCGGATTTTCAAAGTCATAATGAGCAATAGCAGAAACGTTATCAATGGGATCCAAAGTGGATGTGGATATGCAGTTTGATACGTGAATGTGTGTAAGAGCATAACTGTATATTTTTGATAAAGTAAAGAGGCAGAAAAAGAAAAACAAAGAGCGTAAAATTTATATGTGAAACGTCCAATGTTTTATTGATAACATATGAAAATGAAACAATGACCCTCACAAATAGATCATTGTGCCTCGGGTAAGACACAAGGCTTTAATATTTCAATTGTTTCAAATATTACATTTCCTTAAAACAAAAAGATAAATTACACTTGCATAAAAGTAATGGGCACAAAGTCTTTATCCTCCCAATTGTTGAGTCCACCGCTGATGGTTGGGAAGATCCATTTGTCCAGGTCATAATCATTATCGATGTCTTCTAGGGCATTAACTCCAAGGTTGCTGATTCGTAAGGGTGGTCCCCCAACACGAGTACGACGAACAACTTTCTAGGCTCCTGAAGTAAAACCCAAACCAAATTTGTCAGATTTGTAGGGAATATCCAGAAGTTAACCCCAAATTGTACACCCACCTTCTTCAACAACTTCCCTGGCATCTTTCAGAGAATCCATCTTCAGCGGAGGCCTAGTAGTCTTTGGAACACTGGAAGTGGTCTTGGTTGTAGAAACGGTCTATGAAACCTCCTCAAAGTTCTAACAGGGGTCTCAATGAACTCGCCGTCCATTTCAACGTACTTGAAAGAGTTCAGGTAACTCACCATGTACTCCTCCTCCCCATGGACTGTGATAATTTTCCCATTGACTGGGTACTTCAGCATCTAATGTAAGGTGGAAGTCATAGCACCAGCCTCATGGATCCAGGGTCAACCCAATAAATAGGAGTAAGATGAGAGGATGTCGATCACATAGAAAGTGGAATTAAAAGTCTGAGTACCCACTTTGATAGGGATGTCCACCTCCCCATGCACCGTTCTTTTGGAACCATCGAAATCCCTCACCACAATGTTACTGGGCTTCATAGCTAATCCTTCGCAATCCAATATGTTAAGGGCCTTCTTGGGAAGAACATTCAGCAATGAACTTGTATCCACTAGAACATGAGCCAAAGTATTTCCCCTGCACTCGATAGAGACATGCAGAGCATCATTATGTTTGCTTCCTCTGGGTGTTAAATCAGCATCAGAGAAACCTAGCCCATTATCAACAGTTAAACTGGCAACACAGTCTTCGAATTGATCAGCGGAGGTTTCTTGTGGCACATGAGCAGTCTTGTGGAATTTCACCAAAGTCTTGGCATGGGCTTCATAACATAATAACAGGGATAGAATTGAGATTTTGGAAGGGCTTTTCCCCAGTTGTTCAACCACATTGTAGTCACTCTTCTTTATTATTTTCAATATCTCTTCCATCTCCTTTTTAGAAACCACATGGATGGATTCTGGATGTTCCTTCGTCTGGACAGGCTCAAACAATACCTCTTTTCCCCGAGTCTCGGCAGACTCGGTAGTAGGGATAACAACAGGACTAACAGCAGGAGTAGCTATGGGAATATTGACAGAAGCAACAGGGATGATCACAGGAGTAGCAACAGTTTTAGGAGGAGAGATCTCAGGAGAGAAAACTCTTCCGCTTTTGGTGATTTTGCTGGTCCCGACGATATTACTAATGTCAGGATCAGAGTCTTCGACATCTTTATCTTTAACAACCATCAAATCTTGCTTGACGCCATGGTAATAGAGGTCAGCCCCATAGTTCCAAGGAACAACTTTATCCGAGGAATATGGTGTAGGTCCAGGGAAAGTAATTATCAATGGAGCAACTTTTGGAACAGATGTAATCCTGACAGGTCTTTTGGAGGAGACCTTAGGAGGATTGGCGGAAATGGTAATGAAAGAAACATCTTCACGCAGAGCACTTGTAACTGGAGTCTTCTCAAACAAAATTTCTTTATCACCCATCAGGCGCTGAACGCCTTCCTTTAACAAATGGCAACCATTAGGTAGGGACAAACATAAGTGGCAACCTTCTCCACAACCCGGAAATAAATCGGCTTACAAGAGATTCTTTTTAATAGTTAGAAGTGGAGTAGCTAGTTCATCAACAGAGGCAATAACATGTCATTATCAATAGCATTAACACCATAACCATGCTTGGGCATATGGGCAGTTATAATATTAGGGGTCTCAGGAGCGTCAAATTCAATCTCCTTTGCCTCAATAAAATCATGTACCTTGTTCTTTAAAGTCCAACAGTCGTTTGTATCATGGCTTGGACTTTCAGAATGGTAAGCACACCGAGCATTTGAATTGTAGTGAGGAGATGTAGTGTTGGGATTTTTGGGAGCCTCTTTCAGGGTAACCAGATTGGGTTTCAGCAAAAATGGCAAAACTTGAGACAAAGTCATATTGATCAGGGTAAATTGTCTTCTAGGCTTATCTGTTCTGGACTGATTATTATGTTGCCGGTTTGATGTAGGATTGGAAATCATAACAGCCTCTACCGTCAGACGATGCTCAATTTTGCTAAGATTTCTTTGGCCATAAGTAGCACTGACCTATTTCTTCCCCGTGAATGGTTTCTTTACAGTACCAGAGGATGCATCTCTCTGTATTTTACCACTTTTAATGTCGGCTTCTACCCGTTCACCAATCAAGATCAATTCAGTAAATCCAGCAGAAGAACTTCCAATCATATGGTTAAAGAACGACCCGGACAACGTGCCTAACAACATGTCTACCAGCTCCCTATCAGACAATGGTGGTTGGACTCTTCCCGCAAGGTCTCTCCATTTTTGGGCATAGTCCTTAAAACCCTCGCTGGAACCCATAGACATGCTTTGAAGCTGTGT